GACAGTCGATTCTACAAGGAAATCGTACGAGAAAGAAAGCTTCTAATATATCGCACAGTGGTCGACCGCCAATCAACCAGATGGTATGGATAGTAGCTCGAGTTTTGTCGAGATATGGGATGGTAAAATTGCGGCGAGATTAAGTAGATGTGACAGAATATGCAAAGAGATGTAACATCTCTTCGTAGCGTCAGTGAGGCAAGCCGATCAGAAAGAACTCGGTAGTCGGCAATTCGAACCGCTCATCACTGGATAAGATCAAGTGGAAGTAGCTGTAACAGGGATTACCCCGGCCTCTGGGGAGATCTAATCATTGGATGAGAACAGTATATTCCATGTGAGGTTAAACTTGCACCTTGTAAAGCTGTAAGCGGTGTGCTGGTATTAAATACGGTTCTGCTCTGCAAAGCACGCCAAGCTTTCCACAGGCCAATTTGATCTTCCCTTCCAAGTATACGCCCTTCATAGTATACTCTACGTCATTCGATATGCCAACGTCGAGGATCCCGATACTAGCTAAGGCAACTAGGGGAGTGCTTTGAAATAAAGTAGATACGACAAAGGGGTTCTTTTAGCGGTAAACGCGCAAACTAAAGGCTTCTGGGGATTGAACTGGACTAGATTTAATCGCCCACAATCCGAGACTTTGTTTAAAAAAGATTGTAATTTGTAATCAGTTCATTACATTAGATTACTGGTAAAGCTTCATTCAAGTGTTTTAGTGATTTCTAATGCTGTGGCATTTCCCCGCATGTTTATTAAAACAACGAAAACTCGAACGTCAAACTTTTTACCCGGCGAATAAAGCGTCAAAATGTGTTTAAAATACGACATTTTGTCCAATTTGGCCCTGTAAGTACTAAGAAAATTAGCTCTCATCTTGCTAAAATTCTTAATCTCGACACATTCAATTAAGTATTCGCCAACGCTTGATTTATCCAGCAGTAGGAGACGGTTGCTAAACAGAAAAAGTAATGTAAATATTACATGTAGATATTTTGTGAAATAAACATGAAGAGTATTCCGTAATATCTGCCCCTTTTTGATGTGCAAAGTAAATAAGTCTAAATGATAGCCGACATATTTAAAATTTAATGGCCACAAATTATTTTACGTTTATATTATAGTATTCCACATCTAAAATAGTGAAAATATTGTGCATTCACAATAGAACATTTTACCGTAACTCAGTGATCCCCTGCAGCTAGCTACGCATGTTCTAAGTTTAAATGGATCGAAGATAAATGTAGCTGTCTATGAGCCACAACATCCACTTACCATCAGGTGGACTGTGTGCTCATTTGTCGCCTTTATTCTATAAAAAAAAATTAAAACCTAATCTCACAGTAAGATTTGGCAGTTTACATTCGTACATTTCTCAGGTTGAGATAAAAGAACACATATTGGCCGTAAATGATCTGGTAAAGTCATGTAAAGATAAAGAGGAGCGTTTTGACTCCTTAATAAGAAAAGCTGCAAAGTTATCACTTTTAGCAGGTTTTTTTCCATTTAAATCATTTATTAATCGTCTAGCTTTTTTAAGCCTCTAACTATATAATTTATTAATAATTTTTTATATTTCATTCATTACATCCTTTCAAAACGTCATTGATAAATATAGACCTCCCTGAACCGCCTCTTCGCTGGGCTGGGCGGCGGTCCTACATACCTTGGCTTACCGGTACGAAGCTGTTGTGGATCAGGGCCATCTTTTGTAGCAATCCATGGGCGAGGCCTATTTCCAGCGATATACTTGTGAAGGGCTGTGATGATAATCATGATGACTTATATTTCATCGAGTGACGTCGGTAAACGGAGGTGCATGCATTTTGTTTAAAAAAAAAATTAAAATCACCACTCAATTTATTTTCACGTCAAGCATCGGATGAGTAATTTCCCATCGCGCTTGTAAATATTTTGGTTGTTTCTGAACTCTACATTATTAATATTCGCGTCTGGTTAGTGTGAAATGCTTTAAATTCCCTCCGAGGAATTCAATCAAACTTTTAAGCGTGTTCTACACATCATTACTAATAAACACGTAAAACTAAAGAATGTACGTGTATGTCTACACGAAATAACTGCCTTTTGTGGAGCTTCTTACTTTTTGCTGGAAACGAGACATTCCATCTTAGTCCTCACCGGTGACAACGCATCTGCATTTTGATTCGTAATCGAGGATAGATGTAGATGTCTGTGGGCCACAGCAACCACGTGAACTGTGTGCTTGTTTTTCACCCTATTATAAAAAAAAAGACTAGACTGTAATTAATTAATATTGTTGATTCTGTATTTGCATGCTATTTACCATTGTTAGCGAAACAAGATTGCACTAGACAAATTGTAAGATCTTTTTATACCGTGATTCTTGCAAATAAAAATTTATGATTTATGAAAAAGCTCAGGTGGTTATTTGAATGCCATTAAGGTATTTTCAAAAAAAAATTGTCGTCTGTCTGTGTGTATGTCTGTTTGTCTGTGTGGGTTAATCTTCAGAAATACTAAACAGACTGTGATTAAGCTTCACTAACGGACAGAGTGTAGCACCATGAGTGATATAAGTTATATTCATCCGAAAAACACATCTTACACCTTATTTTCTAGCTTTTAAAGTTATTTTGAATTAAAATCAATTATCTATATATCTAATTAAGTTTAAAAAAATGTAAATACATTTTTTTAAACTTAAATAGGTACCATCTTTTACCATTTTTGCCGTGTTGACGGTGTAATGTATAATGAAAAATGACGTTGTAATAATATGAAAAATGACGTTGAAATAATATATAAAATAACGTTGTAATAATATGTAAAATGACGTTGTAATAATATGTAAAATGAAGTAATATATAATGAAAAATGACGTTGTAATAATATGTAAAATGACGTTATAATAATATCCCGTAAATGTCGTAAGAGGCGACATAGAGAGTCAGGGCACAATAAAAAAAAATAAAAAAGATGCGGTTATCTATTAATCCCCCTCTTATAAGGCAATTTATGAGGAACTTAAACGGGCTGTGGTGGTAATGATGATGGTGAAATACCTTTTTACAACAAAACATTTAATGTTAAAAGATAAGGTGTTATTATAACCTTTTTTTACAATTAATGAATCTTCAATTTTTATTTGAAAAATTTCTAAATCGTACATATTTTTTTAGATAATAGCACAAAACAAAAAAATTGCAAAAAGTTTTAAGTGATTTTCCTTCCGATATGTTTTTGTAGAATAAGGGTAGCACACGAGCACACCTGATGGTAACTGAATACTGTGGCCTATAGACATTTACATTTATTCTCAATAAAGAATCAAAATGCAGATATGTTGTCAGCTCCAAAAAAAATATGGAATACTTCTCTACACTAACCATACGAAACTGCTGCTGAAAGCTGGTTTTCTCTGAGAGCGTGATGCTCACCCAGTTGAGCCGACTCATTCATGTTACAACCATAATAACGCTGCAGTATGACTCCACCACGTAAACATGTATTATTTATTATAAACTTTTCGGCAGACATAACATACCCAGTTCGGAAACGGCGTAAAAGCAGCGCAAGCAGCGTCAAAGGTGAGGGACATCGGCTGACAACAGTACAGCTCTATGTTCAGCTGTAAAAGTCCACACAGCTGATAAAAAGAAAATAACTCGTTCTCGAACTTAAAAGGATTTCTTTGACATTCTTCTTTTTTCTGGACTTCGCGGACTGACTAAGCGAAAAAAAAACAATGACATTGGCTACACTCGAGAGTATCACTCGAGAAACTTTCTTCCCTATCGGATGTTCGTTGTTCAAGCTATATGGTCGATATGGTCGGCCTATGTATTATTAACATGTTTTTTTTATTTTGGATTATATGTATTTAGGTCACATCGGTTATGCAACAAAATTCTAAACAGTTAGTTAATTCAAATAATAGTTGCGTAGGATTTGCAAATGAGTGCTCAAAGAATAGAGTCTCACATGCCGAGCATCTAATAGAAGTTTACGTTCAATGGCCGGGACTTCTTGCCAAATTCCACACAAGCCATCACCTATAGTTTATCACTAACCATTACTCGATATGTTGTAACAGTTCATGAAGTGTCTCAACATAAAACGCAATGTATGCGATGTACTACGATAATTACGTCAATACGCTGTTCTGCGATGCCGACCTCTTTTTAATACGTGCAACATAAATAGTTCAGAGCGAATCAAATCGGGAGCAACCTCAAAGTTATTAATCTTGTTTGACGTACATACGCTTAATATGAGTACTAAAAAGATCTTTGAAGGTCATTAAACAAATATTAACACTTCATATCCTGAATAGGATCATCAAACGAGGCTACTTGTAATTTCCGAACGTGATTATCAATAAAATAGACTAAGATACTAACGCCGTCCATTTTATTTTATTTTGTAATATCACAGCGTACGATACATGTTTATCTATAGGTAATATATCTTTTAATAGAATAAGAATAAGCGAGCACACAGTCCACATGGTCAGAAGTGGATCCTGCAGCAGGCATCTATTTTCGATTAAAAATTAAAACGCAGATGTGTTGCCCCAAGTCTAAGGATGGAATACCTCCTTATTAGTAAAAAGGGTTTCTACACTCACCGTATGGAAAATAGCATTAGTCTGCTTTTTTACGCTGGTATCCCACGAGAGGGCCAGGTCCCACCCCGGGTGAGCCGAGCCATACGATATTTGCAAGCTGTGAGGTATTTCAACTTTATTCTAATACCACATTGGTTTTCTTTGTTTGATTGTCCTATTGATAAGGGCTACAGAAGTCGCTTACCCTTAGGTAGACTGTTTCTCGTTTCATATTTTGATTTTTGAGGAATATTTGTATGAATGCTCAGAATGGCTTACATTTAAATTGCTCACGCTTTAATAACGTGTTTAAAAAAATTAAAAGATCACGCCAATGTTGAGAAGAAAATTTAAAAGTGTAAATAAAGGATAAAAATAAAACCAGCGTTGGTTTAGTACTTTCGTATTTTTATGTATCTTTAATGGATATATCATTAGCGTCATTAAATTTGATATCGTTTCGTAGCTTCAACAATTTATCTTTAAGCTTTTTGTCAACATCCTTCTTCTTGTCTTCTAGCACCATTCTCTGCAACATCTCTTTCATTTCATTCACGTTACTGGTATTTTTATTTCTATCAGTATCAACAGTTTTTAATTTTCTCTCAATATCAAGAACCGTTGCATTATTCTCGTTTAAATAATTATCGATTTGATCAAAGTAGCTGTTGTTTCCATATGCGCAATCTTTTACTTCTTTAATGAGATCAAATGCTTCGTCTTCCAGAGTCTTTACCACTTCTATCAAACAGGCTTCGTGCATAGCACCATGTGCCATTAACTTTGTTAGTTCCACAACACCCTCTATCAACTTTCCAGTTATTTCCATCATGGATGCTTTTATTATTGGAGACTATGAAATCAAAATAGATATAAAGTAACAGGCAAACTTAGAACATTTTTTTTATGTATGCTCTTATAGTTTAACGATTTAAAATCAGACGACTTGGTATCGCAGTGATTAAGCATGTACCTGCTTTTGGAACAGTAATTGTTCTTTTTATAAAAAATAAGGATGACAAATGGGCACACAATCCACCTGAAGATAAGTGGGTGCTGTGGTCCATTGACATCTTCATTTATCTTCATTAAGAATCAAAATGAAAATGCGTTGTCACTCCTTACCACAACAATACTCGCTATGTCCAAGATGGAATTCACGAGGCAAATACTATTTTATTTATTTATTTAAAAACTTACATGTAACACGTTAAGGTAAAGTGCTACCATACTTAAGAACTTTTTAAACGCTGGAGTTATTTTACACTAGAATTATATGAGAGCATGGTACTACCCAGGTCTGGCCGCCCCATGCGTGCATGCATGCCCCACGTGAGACGAATTATTGACGTACAAATAATTGTTTCGAGTCTATATCTTTATAAACATGCACTTACTGTGACAATTTGTAGACTACACTGAGATTGTGTTATATAATATACCTTAGCCCACTCAAAGGAGTAGAAAACTTAACTTTGAATATAAAGTAAAACTCGACTTCAAACAACTAAAAATAAGATCAAAGTTTTACATGTCTGAAGTCACGGCTTTAATTTTTCTGTACAATATGTCATAGCACCGACTTCAGAATGTGAAATTCATATTTTATTCATTGTAGTTATTTGAAGCCCAAATTTATTTTTTATTAAATGGACATTGCTCAGCGCCCATACATTGTTAGCCCTGGAACCAAAAGCATCGGAAAATTGTGTGTTGTATTGTCGATCATTAGGGAATTCCTATATGATCTTATTTTTATAGCGGACTAGCTGCAGAAAAGATATATTTTAAAAAAAGTATCAGATTTTGAGGTTATAATAGAACTACCAATTATTGTTTTTATCATTTGGTGTGATTTTTAAGAAACTGAAAAACAATATCGTGTTACATTTAACAATTTAAGTAACGTCTTTCAACAACATAAAACCACTAGCAGAGCCGCAATTTACACAAAATACACTTTTCATTGCATATGCGTAACAAAGAGAATATAAAATCCCTTAGTAAAAGTAAATGTATAAAAGGGCGCCAAACTACTCTACCAACATCAAGACATGAATTTTTTTTTAGAACAACAGTGCTACCAACATAGACGAATTACACTACAATTTTATCGATATAATGTTTATTGATTTATTGTTTATCGTAATTTTTATATTAAAAACATTAATTATCAAAAACTCGTATGTGATCGTTTAGTTAGAAGTAAGCTACACGCTTTTCTAAACCATCATTAGAAAACGTGATCATCATGAAATAATTATGTTTTGTTCACTTCAGCATCATTATAACTACCTATTCATTTTCGAGTTTGACCTCATTCATTAGGTATAGTAGGTTTTTTAAATTATACTTTTAGGGAATAACAAAAAGAAATGATGATTGATTGTTTTTATTATAGTTTCTTTTTGCACTTTATTCGAAATAATTCAAAATGTGATTCAGATTAAAAAATATGCAACTGTTCATTAAAAATTCAAAAGATCGATAATAATCGATTGGGCGTCCCTAGTAATTTTTATACACCACATGACGTTTGGCGAAGATGGCGGTGATTAATGTTATAAGTCGAATAAAATACTTTTTTAATAATGATTTCTTATATTTACGCGAAGACTAGTCCATGTTATAAAAGTACTTTTACGGATTTTATCCTTTATTTATTACTTTTTATTTACTTTTCGATGTTTTTATTCCCGACGTTTCGGGCGCTTTCAGCACCCATTGTCGGGCCCCGTTAATCATATTGCTTTTTTAATGTTCATACTATTTGACATGCAACTATTCGATGTTGGCATAAAAGTAATTTCAATTTTTAAACAATCTATTTTATATTAAAATAGATAATTTATTATCTGTCCATTTTATACGGGATTTGATAAATACCCATTATTAACAAATACCTTTTGCAAAATTTTAAAATCATAGGTATATTAAAGCTCAATTTTAAATTTGAAAAAGGAGGCATTCCATCTTAGTCCTCAGGGGTGACAAAGCATCTGCGTTTTGATTCTTAGTCGAGGATAAATGTAGATGTCTATGGGTCACAGCATCCACTTACCATCAGGTGGAATGTGTGCTCGTTTGTCACCCTTATTCTATTAAAAAAAAATCTAAGGTCACATTACCCTGCAATAGTATATAAAATACCAGGTTGAAAATTTAAAATAGTGAATCCTGTCTAGCGTGGATAAGTCTATATCCGCGCAAACAACCTGGCAATAAATTAATAGCTACTATTTGAAGAAGAAGAAGAAGTTTGATACGAGTACATACCTTAGATATGACACATTTTATGACATTCTTCAATGAGTCGTGCTCGTGGCCACACAGCTTCAAAAGCGCGTCGATTTCTTTTCTCTTCGCGTTAATCTATAATTGTTAAATAAAATAAATATGTGTGGTAGAACCATAGAAATATAAACAAGCATAGGCTCCCTAGAAGCTCGTCTATAAAACTTTTACCTATTCTATATATATATATATATATATATATATATATATATATATATATATATATATATATATAAAAAAAAAAAAAGAGAGAGAGAGAGAGAGAAAGGAGAGAGGAAAGTTTAATTACAATATCACCTTCAAAAGTTGTAACGTATCTTAAACCTTCTTAATGCCTTGGACATGTCTATGGGTTTTAATAGCCACTTACATGAACTGTAAGTTCATTTGCTTCAACTTTAATTTTATTAAAAAAAAGTAAATCGAAATATTTATATTCACTAACTTCGTTTTAATAATCAACAAGTCCTCATGAGGCCTATGAAATAAGAAGACTTACTGGTTTTACACCTTGTTTTATCATGTCCTTCAAAGCTACCACTTTTCCAACAGCCCGCGTCGGGTCTTGACCTATTAACGCGTACCCGCATACCACCATTTGGTGCAGCGCCTTCTCTGCCATAGCAGACGTGTCATTTTGCTTGCTCTTCAAGCATGAATCAACCTGCACATTAAAACGTGATAATGTTGAGCGATTAGTTGCGTTTTCTAGCAAAAATTTTTTCTTCTTTTTCATAGTCCCATAAAAGTGGTGGACAAAGGTCTCCCTGTTTTAGGTAGGATTTGTCCTAATCTTCACGCTTGGTAAGATTAACGATTACAACACCAGATGTGTCGCACCTTTAAGCACCCTATCGGAACGTACACTTTAAGGATATTTAATATGCCCTGCACGCTTAAAAATCTTACTGTAGTAGAAATTTGACAAAAAAGATATAAAACTATAATCTGTGATGAAACGAGCGGACGAAAAACAAAGGTTCACGTTCCGTTTTACATATTATATAATGTGATTAAGGTCGCAATAACACTGGCGTTTGTCAGGTACACACGTTCCTCTAACGTTTTACTACCGCAGACGATGCGTGCACTCGGCGCATGTGCAGCCTTTTTTGTCAAAAGGTACAATCTGGTACAATGAGTCTCAACTGCTTTACCACGTTAAATTTTGATAACAATTCGATGAATATTATATTATAAACATTTAAGGTTTTGGTGAACAGCTTACTTAAATTATATTTAGTCAAATTTCCTTAGGGACTCTTACTATTAAAGATGTAATGATTTCTTATATTTACGCGAACACTACACATTGAAATAATACTAGTTTTTACGGAATTTATCGCGTGTATTTAACTTTTTAATTACCCGACGTTTCGAACGCTTTACAGCACTCATGGTCACGGGCAGGACTGAGATGTTCAACGTCCATATGTCATAGTTAACCGCGGTTACCATAAAAATTTTAATCTATGGTAACCGCGGTTAACTATGACATATGGACGTTGAACATCTCAGTCCTGCCCGTGACCATGAGATCTCAGTCCTGCCCGTGACCATGAGTGCTGTAAAGCGTTCGAAACGTCGGGTAATTAAAGTAATTAAAAAGTTAAATACACGCGATAAATTCCGTAAAAAACTAGTATTATTTCAATATTAAAAATGTATTGCAAATCACAACCCACATACGCTCGACTTGGAGTTGTAAGTCACATGTTTTTACTTCTCTTATTGGATAGAAATTGAAAAGAAAAATAGCGGATATTTACGAATATTATTATTACACTCGTAAATGTCCGCTCATCGTCGACAAATTAACTGGTCGATTGTTAGATGGTCAACTGTCGACGCGACAGAACCATTCCTTCTATTTGTCCGTTGAATCTGCGCCTATCGCTAGAGTCCTTATGAAATCCATTTTGTTCTGATTGTATGGCACCAACTCTCTAGATTCAAAATAGGTAAGCTTTGTGTTCGGGACGCACGCAGTGCAGCAGTGCGTTCAGCAGGAATACTGCGTCTGCACTCTAGTCTGGTCTGGTCAAATGAACGTGCACGCCCGACTAACGCCATTGTGTTCACGCCCTAAGATACTCCGTGTAAAAGTGGACTATTTTAGTGCATTTTAAATAATCTTAATATTAGAAAATTTAGTTTTGTTTCTTTTCAGATATACTAATTACATTAAGATATAAAAAAAACTAATTACCTGTATCCCTGTGTGTTTCTTCATCAAATCCAACATACTCTGCAGTTCCATCAAGCTGTCTTGAATGTGCGTAGTACCATTTTGCAACAGCAGCTTGATCTTAAGCAAGACCATGTCGACTGATCTTTGGATGGATAAAAGCATTAATAGCGAAAATATCGCTAAATCTCAAAAACGACTTGGTCGATTTTGACAAATTTTTTTATGTTAATTAATGCGTCCCTAGATAGTTTAGATTCACATTTAGACTCTTTAGGTTGCGTTGTTGTCTAGACCATAAATCACCTTTGAGAGTCATAAATAAATAAATCTATTCCTATACCATTTATCCAATGACGATGAAATTAAATATTTAGCACAGTTACAGACGGTTTCAATTTTGAATATGGAAAAATGTTGGCGGTGGAAGGAAAAGGGGTGATCTCCGTTTGATAGTTCAGAGCTATATATACTGTTTTTGATTCGGAACTTTGATAGCGCGATTTAGACTTCGATGTGTTTCGCTTGTGACGTGACACAGGTTTCGTATGGGGGCAATCTGTGGAGAAAGCATGTGTTCGGCACTGGACTTTTAATAGACTGTAATGAATTAATGAATTCCTAGGTGGTATCATTTCTTTTCTGCTTGCGTAGGTCATCCGCCTGAGTGGATCTAGGCCACCACAATCAAACCTATTTCTGTCACTGTGCTTGTATTGCTATTTTTGGGACTAAATGGTAAAACGATTTTACTTAAATTCCCGGGCCGCCAATACATCTGTTGTCTTGTTTGTTTTAGGTTAGCTGTAGGCGTTCACAAGATATAGTTAATCGGTTACGGTGGGTAGTAACCTCTTTTATAACTCTAAAACTTTAAAAATCTAAAGCAAACCAGTATAGTTACACGCTATGAGACATTCCATTTTAGTCCTCAGGGGAGACAACGTAACATCGATATAAATGACAAGGTATTGTTGTGCGAACAAAAATTTTTCGCGGTTTAAGCATAAAACAAATCAGCGTCATCTCTTAAATACTCATGAACTACCAGGGAACCAGTGTTTCCACTTATGATTTTGGTTTTACCCTAGAACCTATAGAAATACTCCCTAAATTATCGTAATTATTATTTATTGCACCTTATTTTGAATATTTTAAAGAACAACATCGAGTTTGACTAGAGTTGTGTGATGAAGTTCTCGTTCTCATTTTCAAATTATAATAACACTTAGTCTCATATTAATAATGAATATGTAACTAAGTAATACCATTATTCCGATATACAGAATGAAAAACTTTTTCATTCTACACTTTTCTAGCTCTTTTGACCCCATCCCCTTCGATAAATCTGTAAAAAAATTACACCCATCCAGGGTATTGAAAAGTTCGAGATCACCCCAAATTATCTAAAACCGTTTCAACTTGAAGAAACGCCTAAGGCCCTATATTATAGATAGATATATATTATATTAGTAGATTTATCCTAAAATAGTGCAAAATAACGAGAAAAAGAACTTTATTTGTTACAACTTAAGGTTGATTTCACACTAAATGTTATTTAATTAATGTCTTTTCATAGTTAATATTCAAGCGGACAGTATTTAGCTATGATTTTGTACGTGACCCGTTATCTAATTGCTATTGTTGATCGAAGGGTGCTCCATAAACATTTTCGCAATATGCAAAATTGTTCAATGACCCGGTCCACACGCAGTAGTACAATAAGTCAAAGCAACACAACTGCGTTCTTCGTTTAAAGTAGGCTGCTGATGTCCAGTTATCATCAAGCTGCAATGACTGCAATGGCCACTTACCATCAAGTGGAATGTAAGTTTGTTTGTCACTTCATTTTTTTAAACTTTTCGAAGCTCACCTTTCAAGGTCCACTTGAAACTTCCTTTCGATGCTTTGCAGCAGGTCCTCGCTTAGTTTCTGGGTAATGTCGTCTTCTATAACGTTATCCACTTCATCCTTTAATAATTCTGTAGCTTCTGTAAGCTGTTATATTAAAATATTAAGTACCCGGTTGACCGAGCTTTGCTCGGTATTTTTCGCTAGGTTATTTTTTTAATTCGTGTGTTTTGGAAATTATATTTAGATACAAATTACATACTGATGAAATACGAATAATATTTTTTGATCGTAGCGAATAGCGAAAGTAATAGAAAAAACTGAACTGGTTATTTGAATAAAAAATCATGAGTGCAATTACTTTAATTTAAATTTTCGTGTTTTTAAAAAATACTAAAAATGGCACGAAAAATAGATTTTCACAAAAAAAAAAGGAACTTGAAAAAAAAAATTAAAAAAAGTCGGTCGGTCGGTCTGGGCTCGAACCATGGTATTACGATTTTGTGACCGCCCAATATACCAATTAAGATATTTGTAATCATTAACAAACTGTCAAAATTTACCTTCTTATTCTAACGATATTGTAGCTGTTTTTCATTGCCTAAAAACACGGACAAAAAGACATTTTCTAAAAATAAATCCTAGCTAGATGGATTTATTGCCCCCGAAACTCCCTGCACACAAAATTTTATGAAAATCGTTGGAGCCGTTTAAAGGTATAGGATAGGATATTTAGGAAGCTGACTTACGGAATTATTTAGATTTTACATCAACGATGAATGCAGGTAGTTCAGGACCGTGTTTTTTTTTTTTGGAATTCCTAGGTAGAGTTCTATGTTCAGCAGTAGATTTGTAAAGGATTGTAATGGTGATGATGACAATGATGATGAATGGCAATGAAAACTAATTCTTTCATAAAAATAGGCAATCTACCGAATAGTGACAGTTGGTCGTTTAAATGCCCCCACACGGTAAATAACTGAAACTTCTGGAATTAAAAATAAGTAATTAAACGCGGTATAATCCGTATAAATAATTTTATTCAGTAGGTAGTGTTCGCGTAAATATAAGAAATATGTTTTGTTTTTTTTTTTTTGTTTGCTTAAACACACTCTGGAACTATAGATTCATGATACACCTCTCAACTAGCCTTAAATATTGATTTTGTTAAGCAAGTCAGAACAAAAAGGGCCCCCGAGCTGCTCTATCCGCGTGCGCTGTCATAATTGTTAAAATATTAAAATACAATGTTCTACCAAAGTATAAATATTTACCCCAGCATAAGAAAGTCCCCTATACTATATACCTATTTCTTATACATTAGCCACAATAAGGTATTTTGTGACAAAAAATTATTGCAAATTAAAAAGCGATTTATGAGTGTTATTATTTTTTATGTTTTATTATTGTTGACATCCATTCTATTGTGTATTACAGTATTCTATGGGTTTTGCGACTATTGTAAGCAATTAACTTGCCGACAAGCTCACACATTTTGTGAAATCTCAAAAAGCCTGGCCACAATAATTGCCAGTATTGGCCCGAACTCTTTACTTAGGATCGATCTGACACACCGGGTTTAAAACATTCCGAAACCTCAATTCGAGCTTATGATCATAAATTCACTTCAGAAGTTGTGTTGTTCATTTCAATTCACACAGTTATCTAAAAAGCACATATTCATATTGGAACTAAGCTACTCAAGAATGTGCCGACTTTGTTCCTTAACGGACGAAACACCTCTGCACATCCTAACTTACTCAACAAAACGGAAAATACGTACTTAGTCCAGAAGAAGTGAAATTTCTCACAACTAAGCAACTCCTTCAATCCATTGAAAAAGGGCTTTGCAGTGAACTGTAGCTATAGCATCGATCGCAATAGATCTTACAGGTCGCAGTGATACTCATATTTTAAGACCTGCACATCTACACAATAAATTATCGCTAAAATCTATACTGCAAGTACAAGTGCTGATTATATAAAATAAATAATAAAAAGTAATAAAATTATATATATATATATATATATATATATATATATATATATATATATATATCATATATATAAATTACGTGTCACGTTGTTTGTCCGCGATGGATTCCTAAACTACTTAACCGATTTTAATCAAATTTGCACACCGTGTGCAGTTTGGCCTAACTTGAGAGATAGGATAGTTATTTTGGCCATGACTGACCTGCAATTTTTTGGCGAATTTAAGGATTTTTAATAGGACACACACACGTCTGCCAGGCAAGTTAGTATTATATATATATATATATATATATATATATATATATATATATATATATATATATATATATATATTATTACGTGGTGGGACTTCTTATCTGTTTAGGAGTATCGGGTAGGTAGTTTCCCTTTACTTATTTCTGCTGTCTTAGGGTCTACCCACACGCACCACAACCACGACACTATTCACACGTGACCACATTTTGTCGCTGTGATGTGGTGTGGTTGTGGTACGTGTGGGCCGACCGTTATATCAGTGCTTGCACTGCTTTGTTCTAAATTTGAATTGTATAAAGAGCTACTATTATTACAGGCTGTGTGTATTACTACATTCCATTTTAGTCGTCAAAGGTGACAACACGTCTGTAGCCTTCTTTGAAGTCGGCTACAGCTGTCAATGAACTGCACTAGCGACTTACCTGCAAGTGGACTGTATATTCGTTTGTCACTTAGATAATATAATTATTATTAAAGCCAACTAACCAATTGGTAACTCGCCAGCAATGCACAGAGCAGCGCTCGTAGAAAGCTGCCCTGCCGACTCGCCGCCATTTCGCGAAAATATTACAGCAATATAAAGTGCATTGCATTGAGTATTCAATAAACAATAAAACCTCTTTTACGGTGAAGATAATTTGTTGCATTCACTCTGATTCAAACGGATATATATACACTTATTTCTATGTTGTATTATAGCTATAAGTTTAAAACGTGTGTAATCCAAAAATAGAGCGTTACTGTATTTTTTTATAGAATACGGGTGACAAACGAGCACACAGTCCAACTAATGAAAAGTGGTTGCGGTGGCCCATAGACATCTACATTTATCCTCGATTAAGAAGAATTGAATCGAGAATCAAAAAATACAGATACGTTGTCACCCTTGAGGACTGAGAAGGAATACCTCGTTTCCAGTAAAAATAGTTTCCAGTTCTCTACACTCACCATACGAAACACAGCAGCATTAAATTACTATTTTACCCTGGTATTCTGTGAGAGCGTGGTCCTATCCCTCTATCTCTAACACGTATAAAATTTTCTTTTACCTCGCGGTAAAGTGTTTTGCTTATTGTCATTATGGACTAATTATATTATATTTAATACCTACAAAATAGATCGTAGAAATTGCAATTAAATTTTAGAATTATCTTTTGATAGGTTAGGTTTAGTTTTAAAATGAATCAAAAGCTATATTGATCTATATTTTATTATAAATTCAATCCAGTTCTACAAAATGCAAATAGGTAGAGTCCTATTGACATCTACACGGCGATCGCTTTGCTCGTAATTTCCTATTTTGATCCGTGTCCTGAAATTAAATGATGAAAAAATGTTTTAATAGGTATATTTTTTCATATTTTACATATGTACTTAGGTTAGTTCACGTGATGGATTACCATTATCATGATACGATACCATGGAGATACCATGGATACCATGGATCACAGCGTTGAATTATCAATGCTGTGATCCTATGGATGGCCCATAAAAAATTTCCTGTATTAAACTGCTGGTGCTAGCGTCGATCTATGCTTGTGGTAGATTCACGCTACTTTTCATAAAAAGTTATTTTTTACACTTTTGAGTGGAATAAAGAATATTAGGAGCTCTATGTAACAACTTGGATGCTGCCTTAAACGTTAAAGTTTTAAATATAAAACTTTAACTCGTTAGTCTATAAAAAATCTTGTGGCTTAAAATAAATTACATTACTATTAAAACACATAAACTGCACATTATACACATAGACTATCTAAGTCTACTTCTTAGCGTAGGGGTAGGCCTACAAATTTCCCTGCATTATTTTGAATTTTTTTTAATATTTTATGTTGTCATTTTAAGATTGAAATATTTTGATTTTAAAATTAATAACAATTTAAATAAATTATAATAATTTAGTGGATACTGTTATGTCGTTTAGTGGCGTGGCGGTGTAATAAATCAGCCGCTGGATATCCCTCCGTGGCTGTCATAAAAGACGACAGAGGGATACAAACTAGGAAAGAGATAGCAGTATATTCCTAATAACATAAAACATAAAAGACTGTGGTTGCCAACTCGCTTATCACGTGTGGCAGCTTATCACGTGTGGCAGCTTATCACGTGTGGCAGCTTATCACGTGTGGCAGATTATCACGTATGGCAGCTTATCACGTGTGGCAGCTGTGGCAAATACTTAGCAATCTATGAGGAAACCTTTGTTCAGTGGACTTTGTTAGGCTATCATAGATAAATGAATGAGTAGATTAATATAAATACGAACGGACTCCTTGCAGCACGCATAACGGCACAAATCTTCCGCGTCGATCTGACCCAACTTCTTGTAAACCTGTTGTAAGTTAACAATTATTTACACCATGTACAACTCCGTCATATATAGCGTGTTCAAACAATATGTCGTCTTTAGGGTTACCTTGATTTTAGCTCGGTATAAAGCATTAGAAGTCAACGAAATAAAACATTTAGCCATTTCTGTGACTTTGCATAGGCCTCTGGAAGAGAAAATAATTATTTTAAAAACAAACAATAATCACCTAATATCAGCATTTAAAATACTAATTAATAATTTGATTGGCGATCGAATTCAGTTTGTTTTATTCTATTCTATTCTCGAAATCGATTCGATTCTCGAATATCTTGATTTTATTTTAAGATGAGCGCTAATCCCCAAAGTTCTAAATTTGCCATAATTAAAATATTTATGTTTTATTTACTTGTCAAAAAAAAATAAACAATATTTATAACAAATCATACATTCTATTTCCCGCGATATAATCCCAAGAACGCTGTTTCCGTTGCCTCACTGAATAGCTATGCAGCCGCTAAGCCTTTAGGCGAGAAAAGAACCAGCCCCTTGCCTACAGCGGACCCGCTGACACATTATCTTAAGAAACTTATCCGCGCGTGGTCCGCACGAACCAAAAAAAAATTGTATAAAATTGTAATATCAGAGTCGTAAGCTCCTCATGCCTGCAACGTAGGCTAGAAACTGCGAATACAGTTACTTAAGAAAACCGCCCGCGTGTGGACCGCAAGAAGCAAAAAAAAAATACATAATTATTATAAAGTTTTTACCTTTTGGAAATTTTATATAATTCACACACATAACCTATAGAATAACTGTGTACATCGGACCATCGAACAACACTACCTTCTGGTAACTGTCCATAAGGATCCCCTAGGGGGCAATGCTGTAATCAAACGTATTCAAAAGTTAAGGATCTTGTTTTCAATTTTCAAAGAGAAACAAAATTTAACAAGAACTCATAGAACAAACTTACTATAATGAAAGCTATCAGTAATGTAATCAATAATATTTTTGCCAATGTTGATGAATAATGGTTATTGTCTGCATGGAAACAAATAGTTTAAGTATAAATATTAATTTGTAAAAAAAAACAGAAATAAGTAAATATGCAAAAGTCTCACAGACGGCGCACAGGTCTTCTTTCAATTTAATAGGGTTACATAGCAATTTGTCTTCATTCTTATAAGTGGTAATACCCATGTTGCACCTATACTATGCTTTTAGCACGAATGGGTCGGGTCAACCCAGACAGGACCACGCTCTCTCAGAATACCAACGTAAAATAACAGTAAATATCTGAGAGGGACATATTAATTAAGTGGCCACGTTGTAACTAAATTATGGTTGTTGCACAAATGGGTCGGCTCGATCGGGAAAGACAACGATCTCATAGTATACCAGTGTTAAAGAGCGGCTTATTACTGCTGTTTTGAATTGTGAGTGTAAGAACAAGACACCCCTTGTTACTGGAGACGAGGCATTCTATCTTAGACCTCAGGAGGGACAACGTATCTACATTTTGATGCTTATACGAGGATAGATGTAGATGTATATAAACCAGAGCATCCATTTACCATCAGGTGGACTGTGTGCTAGTTTGTCATTCTTATTACATAAAAAAGTCTGACATGCGAATCCATTGCCCTCGAAATATTTCGTTCCTCAGAAATGCATGTTTTCTCACTATGTTTTACTTCACCGCCGAGCACGTGGTAAATTTGTACTCGAAATTTTATTCGAGCTGGCGGATCGTATTCATACCCCGGTTGCTCGGGTAATGTAAAATCAACGGGAGCACTGAACCCCTGGGCTACCACGAATATAAATAAATAGTAATATTTAGGTCCAGTTAAAAGAGAATTTAAGTAACTAAAATAGGACAAACTTTTAGGTGTGGCTTTTTAATCATAGGTAGGACTCCTTTCTACTGGGTGGGAGATGTTCGTCAGGGTAAGTACTTCATTTCTATCATTTTTTCAAACACTGTTGTGTTCTCGTCTGAAGGGTACAGAGAGCCAGTGAAATTACAAACTGTGAAACATTCCATCTAATTCTTTAAAGGTGACAACGAATTTGTAGCCTCATCTATCTATACTCTATACATGTAATAAATCTGTAGAAAAGTCGTGTCTGTAATTCTAATATTTCCTGGAAAAAACAAGTCCGTGGAACTAAATAAAAGATACTGAAGCCAAATAACTGGTTTTTAGAATTTTTTTCTGTCTGTATTAGAGATTCACGCAAAAACTACTCGACAGATCTCCATGAAATTTTGTATGCAGGCAGTTAGTGACTCGAGGCTACTTATAGGCTTTTTATCCGATTACGGAACTTAAGGAGGGTAAATATTTTTCTATTTTGTATGATTCTGTTAGTTATAAGCGGGATAACGTAGTGTTTTTTAAAGGAATACAATATTTATAATTAAAGTTTCAAATTTGTTTTAACTGTTATATAATAATTTGAAACTACGTCAACGATTTATATTATACGATACGTACGATACGTTTTCGAAGCAGCGCCATTTGTCATAAAAAGTAAAAAGTAGTATATGTAGCCTTCAGTTATCACTTTATCAGTTACTTACTAATAAATTAAATAACATAAAAACACATTTATATGTTTAAATAATTATTATTATTAAATGATTTGAAACTTCTAAGATTTATTTTAAGTTTTTCATTATTTCATTTTAATAGTAATAATTTAAATAGATAATAGTGAAATCTATGAAAATTCAGATGGTTTTTAGTTTAATTACTAATATATAATAATGAACTGATTAACATTGATCTGCCTGCGATTATTGCAAAACTGTCATTACACTTATACTTTAAAGTTATTTTGTATACTTCGGGGCCAGATCGTAGAATTGATTTTATCATGACTATTCGATCATTACATAAAATTGCGGCATTTCGTGAAATTTAACACTTTCTGTTGACCATATCATGATTAGTCTTGACCAAATCGATGAATAAACATTGAAGAAATTAACAACTAAACCCAACATTGCTTTTTCATAATATTCCAATTATATCGAAAAATGGTTCAACTATTCAACGCTAGCGGCGCTGATTGCGCATTTTTTAACAGAAACAGAATTTTTAACAGAATCCACATTACTCTGTGCCTCATCGCGGACATTTAAATAATATATATAAATGTTCGCGGCTTTGAGGTAGCCCAAGGATCACCCCACCTGCATATCGATTTACTGTCGCTGATATTACCAGATAGTGCTTTCGTATGATATTATGGCAAAACGAGAGTTGACTTCGTAGATTCAATTGTAGATTGAGGATAAATTTGACAAACGTTGATATTTATACGATACTAGCGTTTCACCAGGGATTCGCACGAGTGATTTCTGGATATCGGTAACAGCACCACCTACCGGATATAAAATCTGAACCAACTTGTAAATCTAAACCATAAAGTGACCCACTTAAATACACACAAAAAATTTCATCAAAATTGGTGAGTTTTAGAGAGACTATCGGACAGCAATTGATTTTTATATTTATAGATTACTATAATATGCATGTGTTATATATATATATATATATATATATATATATATATATATATATATATATATATATATAATATAATACTAGTTTTTACGGAATTTATCGCGTATATTTAACTTTTTAAATACCCGACGTTTCGAACGCTTTACAGCACTCATGGTCACGAGCGGGACTGAAACGGGCACACGGGAACACGGGCGAAACGTCGGGTATTTAAAAAGTTAAATATACGCGATAAATTCCGTAAAAACTAGTATTATTTCAATGTGTAGTGTTCGCGTAAATATAAGAAATCATTATATATATATATATATATATATATATATATATATATATATATATATATATATATATATATATATATATATAAATTCTAAAAAAATCTAAGCGCACAGGCGGTGAGAAGCGACTTCGATTTTTATACTGTGGAGAGATGGTCAGTAATAATAGGCTATCATGCAATAATTGCAATATTTGAAGTGGTCCAGTACTTCATGATAATATGATTTTTACGATCTGGCCACATTTACATAACTTGAGAGTTTTGATTTCATAGTTTTAATCTAAAATTAGCGCCACCTATTTACTGCTAAATAAACTAATAATAACTGCAAAATACATTAAATATAATGAATGCTACTAAATACTTATGCTTGCAGGATCAAAAATTTAAAATATCCAGTCATTATCGGGATGATTTACCGTAATTGCCACGTTTAGCAAATTTAACCAACTAAACTGTTATACTGGATGCTGTGTATACAAAACTATGATTTAAAAGAGAAACTCTTTAGTAACTATACTTATTGGATGTATATCGGCATAGCAATAATTTCACTAACTTCCTTTGGTATTAAGTTATCCGATGTAAGTTTTAATCTCTATTTGATGAATTAGTAAAAAATATAAGCAACTATTTTATAATGCCGATCAATATTCAATAGGCTAATGATACAAAACAAATATCGCAAATAAACACTCGGCCGTACATTAATAGAAGACAAAGAAATTCGACATTATTTGGTCAAAATTAAATTACCTTAATTTATGAATAAATGTAAAGAGTAAAATTAAATAACGTAACTTTGAATCAAAGATAATTTACCCTCGGAAGTCATAACCGATATAAAAAGTGACAGGGGTTGCTAGACGTATGATATTAATGCAATTGTAAAAAAAAAACCTACATCTCTAAGAATAAACACTCTAATACTAAACTCTAATAATAAACACTGAACTCATTTGCGTTGAGCGCTGGCTTGATACAGGCATTGGAGTCTCTTTATAGGGACTCTAGTGCTTGTGTTAGGATCAACGGGGTCTACTCGGACTGGTTTAACATCCATAAAGGTGTCAGACAGGGCTGTGTGGCTTCCCCGTGGCTGTTCAACCTATTTATGGACAGTTGTTTGCAAAATTTGAAAGTTGGAGAATGCGGATTAAGAATGGGTGAGTTAACCGTCAAATGCCTTTTGTACGCCGATGATCAAGTCATTCTTGCGTCGTCGGCGGCCGAGTTGCAAATGATGGTTACATTAATGAACGGATAATTAAAAGAAAGGGGTATGAAAGTGAACGCAAGTAAGACAAAGGTTATGGTTTTTGAAAGAGAAGAAAGTAAAACGATATGTGAAATAAGAAAAGAAGGGGAGTTGATCGAGCAAGTAGATGAGTTTGTATATTTGGGCTGCGTATTTAGCATGGATGGGAGATATGATAAGGATATAGAACGACGAGTGAATGCGGGACATAGAGTAAATGGGGCCTTGCACTCTATTGTGAAGAGTCAAAATGTGTCGAAAAAGGCACGTATGGCAATTCACAACGCTGTGTTGGTCCCTACTTTAACGTATGGTAGTGAAAGTTGGGTGTGGCAGAAGAAGCACGAGAGTAGAATAAACGCGGCACAAGCAGAAGAGTAGAAATGCGGTCGTTAAGGAGTATGTTAGGGCTGAATCTGAATGACAGGGTAAGAAATTGTGTAATAAGAGAAGAGTGTGGTTTACAAGATGATGTTGTGACCAGGATTAAGAAAGGAATGCTTCGGTGGTTTGGTCATGTGGAAAGAATGAATGAGGAAAGAGTGACAAAGAAAATTTATGTTGCAGAAGTGAATTGCAGAGTCGGAAAGGGACGTCCTAGGCGAAAATTTATCGACCAAATTGACGATTTATTGGAAACGGGCCAAATTAGGAGTACCCTTAACCGACGAGCATGTATGCGTAGGTGTATGGATGTGAAGGAGGCGAGAGAGGTGTGTCAGGATCGTACCAAATGGAAATCTGTAGTCTCTGCCTACCCCTCTGGGTGACAGGCGTGAGTGTTTTATGGATCTCTAAGAATTCAAAAGATATCACTTGACTAACAAACGTGACAACGAGGCGTAAAGTTGGAGTAAAGTTGGATCCCTTGTAGAGTACAAGGGATCCAACTTTATTGATTTTGGTATGGAGCAGCATTAATGATGTTCCTCAACGGAAGCCCACGCGAGCGAAGCCGCGGGTAAAAAGCTAGTTTATTTATATATCGATACTATCAGGTGGTGGTTCGTTTATCATTTCAGGTTTATATTTTTAAAAAAAAACTAAACTACAGCAGCTACTTTTTTATCTAGCTACTTTTGCACCAGCTATAGACGGAAGCAATTTTAAAACTTGTTACATAGGTATAAATAGTAGATTAATTACCCGGAATCGAAACTAAACTATCACATTCCATTATGAAAACCGTTTTGGTATCACTGGAAAATAGAAATTCTATTTTTATGTACAAAATTTGCAACAATTTTAATACTAAGAAAATACGCAAGAATTTTGATTATTGAATTGAAAATGACAGTCATCCCGTTCATTATATACTCTTTGGTTTTGACAAGAAATAAATTTATATAAATAGTTAAGTTATTATGGGTGATTTAAAACTCTTTGTTAAATACTTTTTTAACAAAGAATTTTAAATCACCCATAATAACTGTGGCATATATATTTCTGTGACTATCTGAGACTTCGTCATATAGTGGCAAACAACAGCTCAAAATAATTAAAAAAAACCCGCTTGAAAAGCGTGGCAGCTGTATCAAAATCCATATGAGGCAATCTATGAGAGAGGCCTAAAAAAATCCCCTTCAGGACATTGTTATGAAATAAAAATTTGATCAGTATATAAATTAATTTTCTATTTCAAATGTAGCATTAAGGAGGTAAATGTAAGTAGATTTTTGAAATACAAATTTAAATTTCCCCCTGTACAGTGTATTTTAGTTTTTTTTTGTTTCAATTTTACACGTACCGAAGGCCGCGCCGGTGGCCAGTGTTGTTTTATGACTAAATCGCAAAGGTCTATCTATGGCAAAGGTTTTTGCTCAGAACGTGTTTCACGTAGACAAAGTCTCGCAAATGGTAATTTGCGGTCCAAAATTTTAATTTTTGATTTTTTTTTTTCGGGAGAAAAGGAAATGTGAAGATGAATCATGTGAGTAAGCAAAATTAAGATGAATCATCTAATCTTTGAAGTTCCATTTTAAAAATCATTTGTTCAATTTCGTTCAATACAATTCATCTGAATTCAATTAAATCGTTTGTCTTGTTTGTTTACTTATTGTAATAGCTTTCACCACACTGCCAATGGTTCGCTAGCAGCGAATGCCATTTTATATTTATTGAATGAAACTAGTTTAACGGATTTATAGCGTTTTACTAACTTATTTTACATTCCCAATGAGTCGACTCGTTAACAGTATGGGTGCTGTCACGGAGGGGTCGACGGGAATCTCCTTTCGTCCAAAAAACGAAATAAAACCCGTAAAACTACTTTCATTCAATGTGTATTGTTCGCATTGACTCAACTTGATGAACGCGTCGTTGAGGTTCGGATTCTAGGTCAAGGCAAAATCAGTTATTGGGTTTATCTGTCAAGAAATTCTGTAGCGGCCCGGAGTCAGGAAGTTGACAATGTTTCACCGTCATGCCTCGGAAAGCATTTCTTGCCGTCCTATCGGACTATAAAGGTTAGGAGATAGAGAGTGCACCTGTGCTTACGCGCATACTTGGTTACTAATCCTGTCCCACGCTGATGACTAGTCTCCGTTGACACCGGCCACCGTGACCGAAATTGGTCTTGTGGACATTAGTGTTCACGTAAACATAAGATATCATCATTTTGTATTTAGTTTGCCTTAGCGAATTTTTTTTGTGAAATAAGAAGTTTTCATAATAAAAACAAACAAGATATCAATTTAACGTCTTTATTCCATTTTTTTGCGATCAGTAGGGCATCTTCCGACACAAGACACCCCTTTTTCCGCGCAAGATGGGCAGTCGCTTCCGACAATTGCATCGGCTGTTTCTATCAGGTTTTCTTTTACTAGAGTCTCTACTTCATTGTTACTTTCATTGGTCCCGCTTGTACCGGGATCTGTACTGAAAACTATTTCTTCATCATGTTTCCGCGGTTGAGCATCTAACTTTTTCAGTGTAACTTTTTTAATTTTATTTTTTGCAGATTCATCCAAAGTGAAATTTGTTGTTGACCTTAAATACTTTGTAGTGGTTAACTAAAACAAAAAATAAAGTGTAATAATTAACCTTACAAAAAAGATGAGATGACAGCTCTGTGGAGCAGTGGCTTAGCAATGAGTTGCATCCCTGATACCGCAGATTCGAATCCCGCACAGAACTCGAATGTAAGGCCTAAAAATAATTATTCCATATCTGGGTGATGGTTTATATGCAATATATTTTTTTAATTGCCTCTAAGAAACAAGAGAACCTTTTTACTGGAAACGAGGCATTCCATCTTAGTCCTCACGGGTGACAACGCATTTTGATTCGTAATTGAGGATAGATGTAGATGTCTATGGGCCACAGCAACCACTTACCATCAGGTGGACTGTGTGCTCGTTTGTCACCCTATCCTATAAAAAAAAGAGAGTAAATCGTAGAATTAAGTCAAACCACGAAGTGGAATTGTTCCAACATCCACTACCCCATATCGTCCCGTGGGTGTCGTAAAAGGCGACAAAGGGAAAGTAAAACAGAAAATGGGCAGCAGCTTCTTCCAGGTCACTCAAAATAATAAAAAAACCACAGTCGATAAACCACCTGCCAAGCGTGGCAACTATGGCAAAATCCCTATGAGGCAGTGTATAGCAGAGTCATATGTACAGCAGTGGACTTATATAGGCTTTATTGGAATATATTAAGTCGGGTGTAGATATCAAGTAAAATTTCATACCAGAATTTGGAGCATTTTGATTCATCGTTACTATAGCACAGCTTGGGATAAAAACGACTTGCGTGCATCAGTCATAACCGCTTAGCCAAATACAATGAGGGTATTACCAGGAGAAGATTGAATAGATTTTTAAACTATTGCGATTTACCCCTCAATACTGCATTACCACTGGCATCTCCCCTTACTGTCAGGTGGATCATGATCAGACACAAAACCATCAAATGCTGCGGGTGAAGCAAAAGTCCTTTAAGTAAGTATATGAGAAAAAGAAATCTGACACACTATAAGCTACCGTTCCCAAATTCTAGTCTGGAAATTAAGCACAATTAATCTCTAATTTAATAGTGACTAGTGAGCTTCCTGGTAAATAAAATCAAATCCTACATAATGTATCCCAAGACACAGAACTCTACCATTTACAAAGAGGATTATGTATATATGTGACTACACCGTTGGTCTAGGGGTCGTAACTGCGACTGACGATCTTGATGTTCCGGGTTTGAATCCCGGATCGAGTCAAAATCAGTTATAGGGGTTTTCGCAAGGAATTCTGTAGCAGCCCGGAGTCAGGAAGTTGGCGGTTTTTCATCCCGTGCCTAGGAAAGCACGTAAAGCCGTTGGTCATGCACCTGATCACTCTCCGGTCGTGTAGGTTTACCGTCCCATCGGTCTATGAAAGTCAAGAAATAGAGAGTGCACCTGTACTTGCGTATGCACTCATGGACTTTCATCCTGTTTTGCGCAGATGGCTAGTCTACGTTGAGACTGGCTGCTGTGACCGAAATTCGGTCTGAAGGACATTTTTATCAATTACGCTCTGAGATTTAGCGATGGTATTTTTTCTTACAAGTAATAAAAAGTGATAGAGGAATAAAGAGTGCATCTGGTTTGTTGAGGCTGGCCACCGTGACCGTAATTCGGTCTATAGGACATTATTATTATGATTTATATATACCACATCGGTCAGCAGAACATCAAGCCAAAAACATTTTACCTGAATAGACCTTCGAACCGATTCTTGATTCTGCACAGAGTTGAAAACTTTATCACACAGTTCAGTGCACTGAAAGTAGAAGTTTATTCAAATATAAGAAAATATTAAATTTCTAATCTATCCTCGATAAAGAATCAAAAGCATCTCTAATGCGGTATCGTCCCTGTGGAGTCGTCTCATTACCAGTAAAATGATCTACAATACTTTACATTCGTCATACGAAACACAGCAGCATAAAGCTGCGATTTTACGATCCTGTGAGTGAATGGTCCTTGTCCAACCACTTTGACTCCTTCGTGCTACAATCATAATACAACTAATTCTACGATAAATCTAGTTCATAGCATGTACTTACCCTCAGGTGGACTGTGCTCGTTTAATACCCTTATTCTATGACAAAAAATTGGTGTTTAAAAAAAGAACAGACAGACTTTTTCCAAGCAAACATGTTTACCTTCTAAGGCCCTATTACACCTTAACATAATGTAGGATCCTAATCAAATATTTTTTTGTTAATAATGATTAAAAAAGTAGTTTAAGTGTTATGTGTCATCATCGTTGTAGATTTTTACCCTTTCCTTAACGAATCACAGCAAAAAAGACAAACTTACCATTTTGATAAAATCGTAATACGCCTGGAAAATTGTTCGCATGATGCTCGTATACATTTCTGTGACAGGACTACAGGCCCTGAAACAAACATTTAACTTGGATCATAATATTTTACTTTTAGTAGGTAGGAAATGGGAATCTTCACACTTTGATAAGAAGTCAGCACGTGTCAAAAAGGGCACGTTTGTGGTACAGAAGCAAGTGAAACATTGGGCAAGAGATGCGTTAGATGGTTTACCGACAAAATTGACGATTTATCGAAGATTAGTCAAATTAAAAGTATCCTCTTTATTTAAATAAAATTATGAATCGCCTCAACACTTTACTCCAAAACTTAGCACCCGAAGTCACAAGTTGGAAGAAAAAGAGGAACCGGTGAGGCCCAAGAAAAGAAAAAAATATAACCGCGATTCGACATAAGGGACATTACACCTATAAATATTTATTAACATATATATCTGAATGAAGTTAGCAAGTACTGAGTGATGTTATATGGGCGCTGTTAAAGATATTTTCGAAACAATTTTTTGAAAGCTAAATTATTTAATGCTTTCCTAATGTCTTTAAATAAGAATTTAAGTTTAATAGTGGAATAATCCATTATATTCAACACCTAAGGGTTTCTCTGTATGATAAACTTAGATATTAGGATGTCCACAGTAGAAGTCTGAGTAACCGATATAACCTAACGGATTAGTAAGCTGAAGTGGCAATGGCAAATAGCTCGAAAAACTGACAACCGGTTGCGACCGGCAAGCGAAGTTTGGCGCCCCACTAGATGGAGTGACGACCTGGTAAGACATGTAGGAAGTCGATAGATGCAGATGGCTAGAGAGTGTGTTGTAAAGGCATTCTTTGGGGGCATATGTTAAGCAGTGGACTTGTGAAGGGCTGTAATAATGATAATGATGCTTCAACTAAAATATGAAGACGAGCGATATAAAACAGTCAAAAGTGCAAACGTTAGATAATGGCATTATTAAATTAGTCCCGCTGTGTAAAAATCCAGCAGTGGAATATTGGTAGAAAGATGAAGAAGACGAGATGTTAATAATAGACCATTCACCGTATAACGTTCTCTATCAAGCCGCAAGGACAGGATTCACAAATGCAGTTATTATTAGGTCCGGCGTGGCTACTCGATGCTCCCTCTTGATCAGCATTCTGGTCGTTGTAAACACCATCTAGAGAGTCGGTTTTCACCGTCTGACGACAGGAAAGTCGGCAGCTTCCCGACCATAGCTCCTGAATGGCACAGGCGGCGGCTGAGAATTGTCTCTCGTAACACGTCTGAAATATGTACATGCAGAATTAGTGTTGCGGGCTAGAAACCGGGTATTTACCACAAATTTATAATATATTAGTAGGGGAGATACGCAATGAAACGGACGTTTAACTTTGGAGTATTATTAGATACTGTAATTAAAATCTTAGAAACTCGTTATCTGTCCTTAAAAAATTCGGAGGTATTATAGTATTAGTAATACAACATCTTTTATGAAAATGAAATTTATTTTAAGAAATATTTTAGGTTTTTTTTTTAACTCGCTAATTGTCCGTTTCATGACACAGAAGCATTGAACAGGACAAAGGGTGTCTTGAAACGGACTAGGAACCAATGTTATACTTTTTGCTATATAAATACGCAAGGTTTCACAAATTATTTTATTTTACATTATAACCCTTATTTAAACAAATCAAACACTTTGGTACAAAACAAAATGAGATCAAAAAATTTAACAATTACAAAAAAAACGACATTAAATAATTAGACTCTTCTTAATCTTCTAACAAAAATGAGATCCTGGCTTCATTATGGTAAAACAATATAAGTAGGTATCAAAAATATTCCTTAATAATATTAGGACTAACTAAAAATCATAAACTGTTTACTTATATCCTATAATTTTATACCCATACATTAAAAGTAATCAGTCTTCCCGTTACCAAGTTGGAGTATTAATTGCAATTATTACAAAAATAATTGTTCATACCCTTCAGACCACATGTCTCGTGTGCCCATTTCTTACAAATAGTACACATTAACCAGTCGACACTGCTGCATAAATAAGCCCCATTACAAACAGTGCAATAGTCATCATTTTTGTTGCTTTTTTTTGCGGTGCTTTTCGCCTTGCATTTTCTCTTAGCCTTAGATGTAGATGAAGATGATAGATTATATGTAGAGCCATCAGACGTAATATCCGAATCATCTGATTCTCGGAGTGAAAAATCGGAATCTGACGACTCTGAAAATGTCTGTATTAGCTTTTTCATGTTTTTTGGAAGTTTTCATCTTTTGCTTCCTTTTTTGAATTTTTTTTTAGCAAAATGTTTTTCAATTAATGCGTCCTTCTCAGGCGTGTCAGTTATAACCGTGCTTTTCATCTTCCTAGGTTGGTTCTGAGTTTTCTTTCTAGGCAATGCCTTTGGATAAGGTCGGATACATTCAGGAGATAAAACCATGGTTGATGGATTCGATTCTGAGTATGTTATTTGTGGAGTGAAGCTAGAAGAGATAGCAGCAGAGGTATCGGGAGCATCGACAGTAGATAGTATTTCAGCAGAAGTTCCAGGAGCATTATCAGTTGATACTTCAGCATTAGGGAGCTCAGCTGCAGGTCTGTCAGTGACAAAAGATGTCAAAAAATCATCCTCAGTAAACGTATTTCTATTAAATGGATGAATACCAGTTTTTTGAAATCCTGCGATAGCATTTTCCATAGAAAATGCGGCAGTATACGCTGTATTGGCAAATTGAGCCACTTCGTAAATCGATACTGTCTTTCCGGGATTAGATAACATCCATGCATTCATGGCCTCCCTATACCGAGCTTTAAATGGTCCATAAACAGAAACATCAAGCGGTTGGAGGCGATGGCTACAGTGAGGTGGAAACGTTAAGATTGTTATATAATTATCTCTAGCCAATGTGACAACGTCGATTGTTATGTGGCTAGAGTGATTGTCACATAGTATCAAACAGGGGTTTTCCTCAGACGGCTTTACGAATTTGATGAAGTGTATCATGGCTTTGTAGAAACTCTCTTCTGTTATCCAACCACTTGGGTTGGCTAAGCCGAGTGACCCTTTTGGACCGCCTTGTAACATGAATTCCTTGAAATGGACTCTAGGAAACACAAATACCGGAGGTACGGTGCCACCTGAAGCATTAATGAATCCAAGCATTGTGATTAACTGTCCTCTCTCTGCCGATGTCACCTGTCCAACTTGTTTACAGCCTCGCGTTGCAACTACTTTTGGTGGGTTAGTCACTGTCGAACATCCAGTTTCGTCAAGGTTCCATATCATATGAGGTTCAATTTTCTTCTTATTCAATATATTTGCAAGATTTTCGTAAAACTTACCAACGTTTTCTTGGTTAAAAGATTTAGCCCTGGACAGAGAAGTATTTTCTGGTTTACGTACTGATAAAGATGGATTCCTTTTCATGAAACCACGAAACCAATCCTTCGTAGCCTTTTGTCGCTCAATCCACTTTTCGGGCGCTATATTATTTGCAACTGCAAATTGATAAGCAAGCTCCTTCACCTGGATTGTAGTGAGCCCATAGCACATCTTTGAAGATCTTTTTAAATAATCGGCTAATAGTTCTTCTTGTTCCTGAGAAAAAATTCTTCTATTTCCAATATTGGGATTATGAGTGAACGTAGTTGAAGACTCTTTAGCTTTTTTAACGATATCCGCCAAATAAGACTTCGATATCTTATATGCTGAAGCTACTGAGCGAATGGATTGGCCTTTATTTAATACTTCTTTCACAGCAGACTCTATTGCCGCTTTCTCTGGACGAACTCTCTTCTTTGGTGGCATCTTATGAACAAAGAAAACCAATTTAAGAGACTAAGTATACAGGAGTAATGAATCGGACAGGCACTGACGCATTGAATTGGACGTCCGTTTCAACACGACTGTACCTGTCCAATTCATTGCAAATCTAACCTTAAATACATATATAACCAAATTCCATAAAATAAGTATTAATAAGATTATAACTCACCGTTCCATGTATTTTTGAGAATATATCACAACAAATACGATTATCACAATAGTGACCCAAGTTATTATCGAATTTTAAACCATTTGGCAAATATACGTTATTTTTTACAAAACTCAAGTGTTGAAGAACACGCGAAAAAGTAAACAAAATAATGGCCGCCGGTAGCTGTCATTATTGTGGGTTTGTCTATGGTCATCAGTGCTGCCAACAAACAAATGAAATGAATATTTTCGTTAAAAATTTTCGAGATATCGTAAGTGTCCGTTTCATAACGCGTCCGTTTCATTGCGTATTCCCCCTAAAAACCGCCGCTTGCGTAGAAATGTAATAGGATTTAATTCATATTGACTTCTTATATTTACTTGAATACCACATGTTACATGAACCTAATTTAACGGATGTTATCACGTTTAATTTATATTTTTAATTCAATCCAAAAAATCCAAAAAATACGTAAAATTAGTTTCATTTAATTCCCCAATACCTAGATATTTTGCAGAGATTTAAATACTTATAATAATATAGTAGATATTCATCACAACTGTTTTAATTTTTTCCGACACAAAATTTCTCAATTTGTTAATAATTCTTTGTAGTGACATTTTTAATATTTTTTTAGTTCTGTTTTATATGTTTATAGCTATCAAATAACGATTAGCTTGTAAGAAATGCTGTGAGCATTAAGCATACGGCGTGTTACCATCGTTGGTCTGAGACTCTTCCTATAGTCGCCACTTACGATAACTACAGGACTAATTTGAGCGTTTTCCTACAAAAAGGGGGACGGACACGCACACGGTCCTGATGTTAATTAAATGCTGAGGTCGATAGACATCTTTATCTATCCTGGATTATGAATCAAAATTCATGCTATTAATATGGAATGCCTCGTTTCCAGTAAAAAGGTTACTTGTTCTCACACGACACAACGCATAAGCTGCTATTTTACGCTGGTATTCCGTTAGAGCGTGGTCCTTCACGGGTCGAGCCGACGCATTCATGCTACAACCATAATATGAATGGAGCATAGCCATATCATCTATATCATGTGATGTAAGACGGGATAACATAATAATAAAAATACTTACATATATATAAAGTATACAAGCGACCAATATGCAGAGGACAACGTTTACATACATTTGGCTGGAGTAGTACGTTCCATCTGAAAATTAAATCTTATCAATTAAAACGATAACATAAGCATTGGAAGGGTACCCCTTAACTACCTTGCTTAAAATTCTACTTAGGATGTTGTACTAATAACTGAGTAAGGTAGGTGTTCTTGCAAAGGTGTGACAATCCTTCGCGCCGGGAAAGTTGCTTAAACTATATAAAACGCAAGTCCGCTCGTGTAAGGAACATTGCTGCCAAATATGGGCTGGTGCTGCAAGTGCCACCTAGCGGCTTGAAACTCAATAGAAAGGCGCTCTAAGAGTCAGTGTCAAGTATATGCATAAAGCAGCCAGTCTTTCGGTGTTTTACAGGGTACATTTCGAAAGGTGCGCAGGATTTTTTTTATATATTTTTATATATAATAAGGGTGACAAACAAGCGTGGACTGTATCCACCTGATTGTCAATATATCGTGGCCCATAGACATCTACATTTATCCTCGATTAAGAATCAAAATACAGATGCGTTGTCACATATCAGGAATAAAATGGAATGCCTCGTATCCAGTAAGAAGCGTGTTCTTATCTAGTAAAAATTGCATAGCTTATTCCCCTCTCGGTTCCATCATAGATACAACAGACGTTCAGCTGATCTTCCTTTGTAGTCGACATACCACGCATTCAGACCAAACGGTTTGCTACGTCGTCAGTAATGCGTACAAGAAAGTGCCTCGAAAAGCACGTAAAGCCCCCGCGCCTGATCCTGTACGGTCGTGTCGGATTGCCGTCTCATCGTTTTAAGAGTAGTAATACAGTGTGCACCTGTGCTTACGCATTAAGTGGCCTTGCTGTAGCTATATTAGTAGTATAGTTGTAGCACGAATAGGTCGGCTCGACCGGAGAAGAACCACGCTCTCTCACAGAATAGTAGCGTAAATCCATCTTAGTCCTCAAGGGTTACAACGTATCTGCATTTTGGTTCGTAATCGAGAATAGATGTAGATAAGTCACAGAAACTGGACTGTGTGTTCGCTTGTCACATTTATCCTATAAAAAAAACACTATAACCCTATCCTGCGCAGATCGCTAGTATCCTCAGAGACGAGCGGCCGTGCTCTAAATTCAGTCTGAAGGAAAATATTATCGTTATTACATGATCTATATTGATTTGAAATCAATTCTACTTTATTTGAGCCAGTACAACTGGTTATGAGGCATTCCATACCTGTTCTCAAAGATGACCATGCTCCTGTAGTCTTGTTTAAAGTTCGCCGCAGGCGTCTATGTTATGACTTTGCAAAAGCCACTTACCATTACATGGAATACCAGGTCTTTTATTCCATCAATTTTATAAAAAAGATTTTCATTCAGTCCGTCACTATGGAAGGCTCCTTCATTGAAGGCATTACACTAAAGCTATGGATTCACGATTCATCATTTAGTTACCGTTAATGTTACACCCACTACTACACTATTAGTCCACTGCTGAACATAGGCCTATCTCTTAGATTGCCTCATAGAGGAGATATGTGCTATAGCTGCCACGCTTGGCAAGCGGGTTGCATCCGCAGTTTTTTTTTTATTTTTAATCGTTATAAGGAAGACCCACAGGATGATATTATGTGGTAATGTATATTTTTATACCGCCACTACACGTTCATAACATCTTTTAGTTACTTACCTTATATTGGTTCTATTGCCATAAACATATCTGTTTGTAAATTGGTTTCAAAACTCCATTGTTACTTTTTTAATATCTATTTACAATTACATTTTTCTTCTTTTTGAAATGTCCAAGTGATGCCTCAATTAGACATTTTAGACCACAGATACCTACATAAATACCAAATAATACTAACTAAATAATCACAGATGGCATATAGACGCCACCCATTCAATAAACTACCTGTTTATTTTGACATTTACCGATACTATGACAATAATGTAATTCCTATCAAAGGGTACCCTATATCACAACTTTTAACTTAATATTTACTCAATAGTATAATAAGTGTATGATAATATTTAACATACTATGAAAATTTTTACGCATTTAAATAGGTAATAATAACACATTGAGAATTGTACAGAATTTAAGAACGACAGATAGTCATGTTGTTTAAATTTTCATTTAAGTTTTTCTATAAAAATCTTGTGTAAGGAGTAAGTCACAACTAAAGAGTCGAATGGTGGAATTGAATCCATAACTAAGTTTGCAATCCGCATCTTTAAGTATTAGGCTACTGTCGCTTAACTATCTTACAGTTATAAAATCTAGTATATAAGATAACACGCGCAGAATATGGTTTAAGTTTTGTTCTCACACATTCACCACTGTTTGATTCAAAGTAAAATCCCCTATTGGACACAAACTGTTTGCCGGTCTCCGAGAACCCTTACATCTGTCAATGTAGTTCATGATAAAATCCTTTTCAGAAACAGAGGGCATAAGCAGTGGCTGTGAAGCGAGTGTTGTTAAAGAGGAGATAGCGCGGGACTACGCCGCGCTGCAGTCGAGACTACGCAGAGAATTTTCCGATAGACGTGGCAAGATGTACGCTGGTGAGTATATCCCATTGTGTATCCTTATATTCTATTCAGTGGTCAGTAAACTTAACTGCTAGCGACTCTAGGTTCATCATGATCATCATCATTAAAGCTCATCACAATTCCACTGCTGAACATAGGCCTTCCCAAAGTAATGCCCCAAAGCACGGTCCTATGCAAGCTCAAGAACCTTCCTTCCCAATCGGTTGACGGTTCTTTGAACTATATGGCCAGCCTATTGCCGCTAGTTAGAAAGCTAAAGTGGCAATGGTCCGGACATATAGTAGATCTGTTAGGCTACGTCCCTTACTTTGGGTCTACTGCAGGTATCTTCTAGTTTCAAGTCCATACAAATTTGTTCGGTTTTAGATTTGGAAATACACTCAAAGTCACTACTCTTAACATTGTATTAGATTTTCTGCCAGCGAGGAGACATTTTACTATTCTCATTTTATTAGTGGTATATTACTACGACATTCATTGTGATCATTCCAATCTTCCTGAATTAAGGATCGTGAGCGACACAAAACAGGTAAAACTTTAAGCTTATCGTCTACCCTGATCCCGTCATCTCTTGAGTTAATCAGAGATCTAAATATAATACAGCTCGAAGGACCAATTTTATAGAAATAAGGATTATAAAAAGTAAAGTAAAGTTACAGCCTATATACGTCCCACTGCTGGGCACAGGCGTCCCCTCATTTCTGAGAGGGTTCTGCATGTCTGAGGAACAAGAAAAAAAAATATTTCGAAGACATGCGAAGTTCGCCAACACGCATTGGGGCAGCGCGGCGGACACTTTCTTGCCCTAAAACCCTCTCAGAAAAGGATTATAACGAGCTTACAATCTCAGTGAATACTGTGTGCTCATAGACACCGTTATCTGTCCTCGATTAAAATACAGATTGAAAATGCACTGACAGTCCTGATGCCACACCAACCAAATTGTCTTTAGCCCCCTGAAATTACTATCGTATCGGTTTTGTATCATCATTGAGTAGCTGTGTATGATAAAAAATACATGCATATATAAACCATTCACGACCGGCATCTAGAGGGATAGGCAGAGACGACGGATTTCCATTAAGTACAACCCACCCCTTACATCATACTTCACATCTCTCATTTGCCCATTTTAAAAATAACACCAATAAAGAGGGTAGGCACTTGCCAGCTTTACTATTTGCTTCTGAAAACATAAATTTGCTTTGTCACTGTTTCCTAATAAATTCTTTTTACATAACCAAACCATCGCGTTTCTTTCTTAATCCTGGTCACAACATCATCTTGCAAACCATAACCATGATAAGAGAAAATTGCTCTTATCATACAACTTGATCAATTTCTTCTTACTTGCGTTCACTTATGATAAAACTTAGGTAGTTCCAGTTACGTTTGCCAGGAGCGCTATACATATTTTCATAGAATTTTAGTACATGATGACAGGAAAACGTTAGTGTCGAAAGTTTGTACAAAGTTCACGTCAATCACGATACAAAACATAGCTGTATTATATTGCTTGTAATAATCTATGATAGCCCTTTCCAGGTCTAGCCGATCTATTCGTGCTGCAGCTATAAATAGGCCCTGGCTTTATTTATAGATATTAATCATAGAATACTGTAATTGCCACGCCTAGCAGGGGGATTTTTTATTATTTTAAGTAGTTATCAAACTGCTTTCCATCTTCAACTTCAGTTTTCCTCTGTCGCCTCTTATAACACCCACGTGACGACATGGGTTAGGGGATATTCTTTTACCGCCACTACTCGCTAAATATTGGCGTCTCGACACGTTCACATCGAAACACTGCTCTCATGACGAATAATATAAGGTAATATTACATATAGTTGGTTATGGTACCCTTATGGTTTAACTTTCTTCTTTTTATTCTTCTTCTTTATCATCTCGTAAGAGTTCACTGCTGGAGCCTCTCTCGTTGTAAGAAGGAGTTGCCTTAATCGTAATATTTTACGTCAAAATAATAGTTACAGCGTCATCTATTGACAATAACATTTTTCTAGCATTTTCCAAGATTGTCACTTACAACCTTGAGTATTCAACTAACAAAATTGTTTTAATAGGTACTCAAAGCTTACAACGCCCACATCTAGACCATTCAACCCAATTGAATGGTCTAAGCGCCCACAAGAAAAATAATATAATTAATAACAATAAAGATTAAAAAATAAACTTAGGTTTATAAGATTATAATACTGAATGATTTCTTATACTTACGCAAACACTACACATTTAAATAATACTAGTTTTTACGGATTTTGTAGCATATATTATTTTTTTATATACCTGACGTTTACAATACTTATCTTCAAATCACATTATTTAAAAATAAAGTTATCATACACTGATCTAACGGCATTCCAGCATCGCGACCAGTTGCTACAGAAGAGCAGCTGTCGGCTGACTTCCGCAAGAAGCTCACGGAGTGGCAGCGCATGAAAGGTGTGAGGCAGCCGCCACCGGTACCAGCGCGACAGGATCTCAGCGAAGACTTTCTCAAGAAATGGGGTACTCTTTTTCATTCATATTTTTTTATTATTACAGACTACGATCCGCCCTAGCTTCACACGGGTAGTTTCTGGTTTTCGACAACAGCGCCACCTACCGAGTCCTATTGTAAATCTAAACCATCCAGGGAACCACTCGAACACACACAAAAAAATTCATCAAAGTCAGTCCAACTGTTCTCAAGTAATGATCTTTCATACATAAATTGATTTTTATTTATATAGAATAAAAGTTGCATTGATCATAAATTAGCATGGCAGCCTGTTAAGGTGTGCATTCTCTGGGTTTAGATTCCTTTCACAAACCCTACACTGAATTACAATTTAAAAAAGAAAACAATTTTCCCCTTACGCAAATTTATAATAACGTGAGTTTGGGACTCCTCGTTTAAGTTTAAAAGAAAACTTTATTGGGGGAGGGAAGTGAATAGAATAGAATAAGTTTCATCTAGTTAGTTAAAAAGCTCTATACCTGGAAAACGCAGCAATAATCAGAAGTTATATAGGACTTTTTTAAGTGAAATCTTACAAATAATGTATCTTGTACCATAATGGTTGTAAAAGGTACGAAGAGTACAAAATATTTTTTAATGATAAGAGTGACAAACGAGCACTGTCCACTCGATGCCAAATGGATGCTGTGGTCCATAGACATCTACATTTATCCTCGATTAAGAATCAAAAGCAGATACGTTGTCACCACTGAGGATAAATGCAACTAAAATGTAACTAAAATGCAATGCCTCGTTTACAGAGAAAAGTGTCGCCGGATCTCTACGCACACCGTACGAAACACAGTAGCATTAAGCTACTATTTTACGCTGGTATTCTGTGAGAGCGTTTTCTTTCCCCGGTCGAGCTGGCTCATTCGTGCTACAACCATGATATAGCTCAAGCGGGGCTCTAATATGTATAATTAATGACAATGGTTTACCCAGTAATGATAGTTTAACTTTATCAGATGAGTGGAAGCGCATGAAAGAGACCAACTCTGTGCCAGCTTGGGAAGAAGAAGCGAAACCGGACGAAGTTTTAGTTCAAACATCTACCGGACTCTTCAAATTTCAAGGTAATTAACAATAAACATGGTTTATAATCGAAGACTTCTGTGTGCACTAATAGACTAGCATCTAGAACAAAAACTATGTCACAGGCGTAGATGGCGCGGGTGCAGGTGCAGGCGAGTAGTTGGTGCGGTAATTTATTGTAGACTAGCTTTTTACCCGCGGCTTCGCCTCGCGTGGGCTTGAATAAACATCGCTAATACTATTTCGTACTAAAATTAGCAAAACTTGATTACTTGTAGAGGCACGTCGGTATCTGTGTATATATTGGCAATATTAGAGGCTACAGAAACATATAAGTTAGTTTATCAGAATCGCATAAATATCACCACTTAAATAGCAACACTTTTTTTTATATCGGGTTTCCAATGTGTCGATTTAGGGAAATTGTCCTGGAATCGGAAATGCGTTATTTACATTATAAAAGTTGATATATTCTTGATAAAATAAGGTTTAAGTTCATGGTCTTTATTAATATCCCATTGAATATTGATTAGCACCACATGCCAGTATTTTTTACGTTCGAGTAGACTTCAAAATTTCATAATGTAGTTCTATTCACGGAGAACGTGCGAGAAGAACTAAATTCATGAACAGGAGTAGAAATCTACATAAGATAGGCAGCAGCATCTTCCTGATCATAGTTCAAAATAATAAAAATATGCAGCTGCCAACTTGCAAACCAAGCGTGGTTACTATGACAAATATTCAACTTTATTACCTATTGGAAATCCAATTGATGAGCAGGAGTAGAAATAATATATTATCCATGTAGAGGCACGAAAAAGAAATCACTACCCCATTTCGTACTGTGGGTGTGTTAAAAAGCGACAGACGAAACTGAAACGAGATGGGTAGCATCTTCTTGATAACAGCGCAAAATAATAGAGAGCTGCGGTTGCCAACCCGCAGAGTGAATACTACTGCATATACCCGGACTATTTGACAAGCAATGGGGGAAGCCTATGATCAGCAGTGGAAAGCCCTATTCAAAGTAAAGAAGTAGGAGCCTAAATAAATCCCACTTCTGGGCACAGGTCAAAGCGAGTTTTAGGTCAAAAAGGAGTTGATTAAGTTGAATCTAACGCTGGATGTCCAACTTCACATATTTATAACTAAAAATGATTTCCAAAAATTTTTTTCGTCATCTCAGGTATGCAGATTTCCTGCGACGTTTTTGTTCACCACCGAGAACGTGGTAAATCGAAACTTCAAATTGCAGTTAAAATATATGTGGACCTAATTTTAGTTGCTTACGTACCAACTATGAAATTTACGTTTAGATCGGTTTAATTACAAGCAGTTCTACTCATAGTTAAAATAAAAGTAAACCCGTGTTTAATTTGCTTTCTTTGATATTTATAGTATTTTTAGGGTTCCGTAGTCAACTAGGAACCCTTATAGTTTCGCCATGTCTGTCTGTCCGTCTGTCCGTCCTCGCTTAATCTCTGTCACCGTTAGCACTAGAAAGCTGAAATTTGGTACCTAATATGTGTATCAATCACGCCGACAAAGTGATAAAATAAAAATTGGAAAAAAATGTTTTATTAGGGTAACCTCCCTATATGTAAAGTGGGAAGTGAGGTTTTTTTTTTAATTTCAACCCTAACGTGTGATATATTGTTGGAAAGGTATTTAAAAATGAATAGGGGTTTTCTAAAATCATTTTTTGATAATGTCAATAATTTCGGAAATAATCGCTCCAAAAGTAAAAAACAATGTGTCCCCCCCCCCCCCCTCTAACTTTTGAACCATAAGTTTAGAAAATTATGAAAAAAAAATCTGAAATGTAGAACTTTACAAGGACTTTCTAGGAAAATCATTTTGAACTTGGATGGAAACAACAGTACCCACTACCGGGAGCAGTTGCAGGAGCGCGGAGCGCTGCTGGAGCGCGAACATAATGGATACCCACCTTTAAACTCATAAGTGGGAACACTTATTGTGACGGATGGGAAACTACGTAACCCTACATTGAGGGTGGCCCGACACGCTCTTGGCCGGTTTTTTCATAAGAACCTGCTCATTTACTCATGTGAGGTATGCAACCGGGACTATCACAAATATTTTAATAGTTATGTCTGAAAATATGAAAGCTATATATATTACAATATATATATATATATATATAACAAACTGCTTTATAAATCTCATGAAAAGTAAAAAAGGCTGCATCAACCAGTACCGTCTTTACCATAAGGGCACACGGGGCCCGTGCCCAGGGTCCGTATCGTCCCGGGGGCCCCCCTGACGAAAGGCACCGGCCTTATTCGCTTACGCTATGCAATCTTAAGTCTGTTTTAGGAAAATATGACCTGACAAAAAATAGAGTAAATGAGGGCGTTGTTAGTGACGTTCTGTCAACCCTGAGCAGTGAGAAGCCACACATTGCCAATTTAGCCAGAAAAAGTGGCATTGACAGATTTCTTAGTGATAAAATATTTATCTAAATGTTTTTGTTGGGCTGTACAGTCCTGTACCTTATAGCCTGGATTTTTTTTCGCAATCAATGTATTTATAATCTATGACATAAAAATATCATTTCGTACTGTTTGATAAAAATAACACTTCTTAAGATTTAACGGAAAATGGTTTATTTAATATGATAATTTTCAACCACAAATATTTGATTTTATAGCAAATAATTGTTATGATCCTTATTTTTAGACAAGTGAAGCCTAAATTTTAATGTAATAAATAAAAAGAATACACGTATTGATGTTGTTATAAAATATTTTTTGAAAGAAAGTTTAAGAAAGAAACATTAAAGTTTACATTTCCCTAAGAAATTATCGTCCACGCTATGAAATCTGTCAAATATTTTACCTCTTTTGTTTGCGCCCAAAGTAATAAGGGCAACCCTCCAGAAAGCGGGGGAGGGAGGCGGTGAATGCTCGTAGCATAAAACGCAGCCGGCTGCGTGGTTATGTGGAGACTTACTACTAATACTCACTAAATATCGCCTTTAGGGACTGGCTTAACGGTCTAGCTAGAGATCTCTAAGCCGTATCGAACGCGACCCTCCTTGGGTGAAAGAGGGGCGCTAGCGGCGAGTAGCCGCTGGAAAGAAATGCTGCCTAACTAAGGCAGCTTATGAATGGGATGACTAATTAAATTGAATTTAGAAGGTGTTGGTGCTCGGTCGAGCTCGCGCGAGCAGACGGTCCTGTGGGGACGGAGAAGCGCGCAATTTGCGTGCTAGAATGCGATATCTCTTACGTCGACATTACGGATAGCAGTGTATACTGTATCTACGTTATCGGCATAAGAGGGTTCCGCTTGACGCGAAAGCCCTGGTGGGCGAAGCTGAGGAGGCCTGTAGGGACTCTGAGAGGGCCGATATAGGTCTTGTGCTGGTTGAGAGTTGCCCTGAAGGGGCATTTTGGATGGGAGAGCCGGGAATGTACGGTCATTAACCGGTCGCAGTTTTGTTACTGAGATTGGGACGGGGCGCGCGAGGGCAGCCTCTGAAGTTGGCAGTATGGCCAGTCTGTCCGCAAAGGACGCAAGCGGGTGGGTATTCGGTATCGGGGGGCCCAGGACACTCTTTCGAGCTGTGCGGGTCTAGGCACTTAACGCACCTGGGAGGGGCTGAGCAGTTGGCCGCCGCATGGCCGTAAAGTTGGCAGCGGTGGCACTGCGCCGGAGTTTTTTTTACCTCATCACTGACCTCTATTTATAGAGGTTAGTGTACCTCATTATAAAGTGTCGCCGCCCTGGTGGCAGAAAAAGTCGTGGATGCCCTAATTATTGACATATTGTTTGATTTTTACCAATTAAGTAAAATAAATATAAGATCATAGTAGAAAAATGTTCTTGTCATTCACTTTTATTACTTTCCAACAGGGCCACAAATTCTTGTGTGTCCAAGGGCCCCGGTATGGCCTAAGACGGCGTTGGCATCAACGGTATCACGAACTATTCCACCAATTATGGGTATACGTGAATCTCATAGTGCATTTAACTTTCAATTATATATATCAGTCTTGATATAAAAAGAAATTGGTGAAATATTGCTATGCCGATATACAAACAACATATTCAACTAAAGTCCTTCTCTATTAATCAAAGTTTTCTGTACAGTTTTGTTAGTAATTTTGCTAAAATTGACAATTATGATAAGACATGCAGACAGTGGTCACAGGTCTCTACCGGTCTGACAATTTTTGATACTGCAAAAATAAGTACATATTTAATAACAGAATTGTTTATAATTTGACCAGTTATGTACTTATTATTAGTTTAGTACCAGGATTACCGACCTTTGCTCGATTTTTTTGAAATTACTTCAAATTACATACTGATGAAACATGTATAATATTTTTTGATCTTATTGACATAATAGAAAAAACTGAACTGGTCATTTGAATAAAAAATCATGAGTGCAATTATTTTAATTAAAACTTTCGTATTTTTAAAAAAATACTAAAATAGGGCTCGAAATAACAGATTTTCTCACAAAAGAAGGGAGGAAACTTGAAAAAAAAAAGGGGAAAAAGTCGGACCGAAGACGGGACGCGAACCAAGGCATTACGATTTCGTGACCGCTCGATATCTACTTGAGCTATTACGATCATGAAAAAACACAGCGTCAAAATTTACCTTCTTATATTGTAGCAGTTTTTCATTGCCTGAAAACACGGACAAAAACACATTTTCTAAAAATGAATCCTAGCTAGAAACTAGCTAGAAAAGAAGTTTCTAGCTAGGATTCACTTTATGAAAATCGTTGGAGCCGTTGCCGAGATTCCGATTATATATATATATATATATATATATATATATATATATATATATATATATATATATATATATATAGTATATATATATAAACCATCAACCAAAACTTTACCTAGTACTCATTCATAGTCGGTATATCGACAACGAAGACGCTAACATTTATATAATACATAAATTTTACATAAGTTCTGCTTTTATCAAACATACGCAATTATCGCCGCTAGCGGTGTGTAATAAAATTATTTTACGACAATAACATCTGGAA